GCCCCAAAAGAGGTCATGGAAAACATACTATTGTAAGCCCTAATATCCTTTAATAAATTTTGACTTTCATACAGGGCAATAAATTGAGATGGAAACCTAGAAGGATATGGAAGAATGACACTGTCAGCTCTACAACAATGAGTATACCTTGGGTGAGCAACTATAGAGATATTAAGAGCCCTCTCCATATACCAAAAAAACGCACCACAATACTCGCATACCCAGCTACAATCACCACTATCAATGTATTGAGGAATCACTGAGAGCCCATCAACACGTCGGCACTTCCGTGATTCCGTCGACGACCAATAGGAACAGCAGCAGATGACGAAGCACCGTCTTCACGGACCTGCTTGGAGGAACCGGACATTATATAGATAAATGACACCACAACGGAAATAAACAAAGCAACTATAACAGAACACAGGAAAAATAAGAAGAACAAAAGCCAAATTTTACCTTACAGAAAGCAAGAGGGAGGTCGATAAACGAAACCAGTCACCAGGAAGAAAGAGAAGCGCAGGAGAAAGGAAAATAAAGTTTAGCAATGAACACCGATATTAACAGGAAGCGAACAGATGCAAATTAGCATAAATTGACACGTAGCTTCGATATTAGCAATAAAGTAACCACTTTTCGCCACGTTGGGAGTCGTCACCACTTTTTCCAAAACCCCCCCTCCAAATAAATTACGTTCGAAGACTAAAATAGTTACAACATTACAGGGACCATTCTTGGTGAAAAGACAACAGTTTACTGTTAAAATCTATCACAACTTTTATATATATATATATATATATATATATATATATATATATATATATATATATATATATATATAACACATCAAATTATAAATTACATTTATCTATCAATAAATTGTATTTTAAATGAACATCATTGCAAGTGATCACCAGCCTAGCTGGTTGTGATGTATCATGGGTTATAAGTCTCAGTGGGTGAGGTCAAGAGTTCAACTCTTGGCTGAGCATATTTAGGGGATTTTCCCTCGATTGACATGAGTTTGATTGTTCGTTCCCTTTGGTGGTGAGTGGTGCTCCTCTTGGTGGTCCGCCAAACATTCCTGATCCATCGGGTCGGGTTACCCTCTATTTGTCGGTTCAAAAAAAATGAACATCATTATTAAAATTAGAAAATGATCGCATAAGTAAAAAGATAATTAATCATTAGTATAAAAATATTATTTCAAAAATTAGTGTCAATAACATAACCATTTTAAATATATATTTTTTAATATTTTAACAATATATTTTTAAACTTCGCTACGCAACGCGCGGAAATTCGTCTAGTTAATAGATATAAAGTCTTTATTAAAAGGTGAAAATAATATCAACCATATCATATTTAATTGTCATATAACTTAAATAAAGCCAATTAATACTTTGTTTAATAAATCAATTGATAAAAATAATACTTTCTTTTTAAAAAAAAAAAAAAGTTTTTTTTTTTTTTTATATAATGGTTGTGTTTAATTTTTTCCCTTTTGTTTACTACATATTTAAGCTCACATGTTTTTTATTTTCGAACTTAAAAATGGAATTATTTTTCTGCGTACTGGTTTGGTTTAGGTGCTGTTTGTTTTTTCGAAGAGAAAAATTCATGAAGTCTGCAGACCACCTCTGCAATCCTCTGTAGCAGAAGAGGTGGAACAAACGGCTGCAGCTTATAATAAGAAGCATGTTTGTTTTTTAATATTTGCAGACTGTTGCAGTAAACTAAAATTTAAATAAACTAATTTTATAAACTGAAAATAATTCTTAACATTGAAAATTTAATAATTCTAGTCTTAAAACATTGAAATAATAATAACAAGAACATGTAAAAAACAAAAATATAAAACTTTTAAAAAAAACATAAAAAAATGTAAAAAAAAGCTAATAGTTTTATTCTAGAAAAAAAAACTAATCTAAAAAAACATTAAAAAAAATAATAATAAAAAAAATTAAGAAAGTATTGCAAACGTTGTCTATAAAGTTCGTAAAAGTTACACACGTTAAAAAAATGTAACTGAAATTAAAAATATTATTAATAAAACGGTAAAAAGAAAATTAAAAAAAAATCGTGGAAATTATAAAAATAAATTGTATCACATCCGTAAAGAAAAATTTAAGAAAATCAAAGTTTTAAAAAAAAAATTAAAAAAAAAAAGTTATACAAAAATTCTTAAAAAAACACTTAGAAAAAATGAAAACTGAAGAGGTTAGAAGTGGCAAGTCAAGTGCTGCGCCACGCAACACACGCGCAGAGGTTTTGTAGTCTGGAGTCTTCCAAAAACCAAAGTGCTGCGAGAGGGAAAGTGTTGCGTGTGTGCTGCGCTGCACGGTAATAAATGGTTTGAAGAGGTTTTTATAGAAAAACAAAGATTATCTCTCCTTCGAGATTACAAGAGAACGAGTACAAATTAAATTTAATAACTTCTTTTTGAAAAATATAAAATGAAATTAAATCATCCATACACGTGCGTCGGACCCACGTGCAAATGCGTTTGTCCATTCTTTGACTACTCGTTTGACCATTAAAAAAAACACACACATAACATGTCCACGTCACTTTGATATCTAGACTTTCCTACTTTTCTCTTCACTTAAACCGTCAAATTAGGCTATAGAATTGGTGAGGTTCACAAGCATTAGGCTATACAGTGTGGCTCTAGTTTGGGACCGCGGTTTGTGCCATCTGAACCATGCACGTCGTTTCCAGACTGTGGTCTTGTGCGGTTTTGGCCGTAGTGCGGTCTTTTAGTGCCGTGTTTGGTGATTGGTTGATGGGTGTATTGATCGTTGAATGGGTTACTTAATTATTTTTTTTTTCTTTTTTGCTTTTTCTTTCGAATATATATACATATCAACTTCATTTGTTTTTCACAACATAATCTCTTCTCTCTCTAAAAAATAAATAAATCACCACTCTCTCAAAAATGTTATCTTCTTTATATTCTGAAGAATTTCAGGCTATTTTTGATACCGCTATTGCGTGTGTTCAAATGGCGGAACAAACATACAACGTTGTATGTAACAACGCAGCTACAAGTTCTCAACGGAGAACACAAAGATATATTTGCAGAAATCGTGAAGAAGCCAACCAAGGTTTGGTGCAAGACTATTTTGCAGAGAATGCCACCTATCAAGGGTATTATTTTCGTAGGCGCTTCAGAATGCTCAAAAGTTTATACGACCGTATAGTTGAAGATGTAACGAGGGAGTGCAGTTTTTTTCAACAATGCTACGATGCTAGAGGTACACCCGGTTTCACTCCTTTACAAAAATGCACGGCCACACTTCTTCAGTTAGCATATGGCATTCCGCCTGATGCGTTAGACGAAAGTTTTAGGATATCTGCTAGGATTGCACGAGACAATCTCCATTTTTTCTGCCAAACTGTGATTCAGTTTTATGGTCCAAAATATTTACGTAAGCCTACACGTAATGACATCCTGCAATTGCAAGCTCATCATGCTAGCGTGCATGGGTTTCCTCGAATGCTAGGAAGCTTAGATTGCCTCTATTGGCATGAGAAAATTGCCCTACATCATATCATGAGCAATTTACCCGAGGTGATCTTGGTCACCCAACAGTCATACTTGAAGCAGTTGCATCACAAGATATGTGAATTTGGCATGCTTTTTTTGGTTCTCCTCGTTCGATTAACGACATCAACGTTCTTAATCGTTCACCAATATTTAACAATATATACGATGGATCCGCACCAGATTCTTATTTTCAAATGTGTGGAACGCCATATAAGTATGGTTATTATCTGGTCGATGGAATCTATCATGAGTATGATGTGTTTACGTGTCCACATGGTTCTAGACGCAAGAAATTCAAGAGAGCTCAAGAAAGAGCTAGGAAGGATGTTGAGCGTGCTTTTGGAGCTTTGAAGAAACGGTGGTTCATATTGAAAAAACAAGCAGCTTATTTAGGCGAGGAAAAACTTCAAAAAATCATGTATACATGCCTCATATTGCATAACATGATTATTGAAGACGAAGGAAGAGCGATATGTGCGTTTGACGAGGAAAAAACCATACCAGAGACACAAGCAATAGAAATTGGTGGCGAAGAGTATATGAACATGAGAACAAAGATACATTGCACTGAAACATTTCACAATCTTCGCAATGACTTGGTGAAACACATTTACGGGGTTCAAAACATTAACCTTAATTTGGATCCACCAGATGACCCCGAAGACGAATTCTCGGAGAACGACTTTATGTAGTTTGATTTAGTTATTTTATTTGTGTTTTTTAAGTTTCTAGGATTATTTAAATGTCATGTGTGTGGTTTTCGTGTTTTTTTTTTTGGTAATGCAATGTAATGTTTTTTTTTTTCAAGTAATGAAAAATTATGTTTTTTTTTATTACAATAGAAGTTTTATTAAATTAAAATAGTTAAAAAAAAAAAAAGAAGTTGTATTAAATTAAAATAGCTAAAAAAACAAAATAAAAAATAAAATAAAAGTGTGGCACCACTCCCTTGGTTTGGCAAGAAACCACACTTCTGTGGTAAAAAATGACATGATGCTTATGTGGCGGGGGAGGGAGTGCGGCTTCGGTGACACCAGTTCCTCTAGCCTTATTAAAAAGGAAGTAAGAAACCAATAGCTAACGTTGAAATTTAAAATGATTAATGGTCAATGGATATATATATTCGTAAATTGGACACATATATCAGATGGTTAATACCTTAAAAACCATTATTTATACATATCTGTTTTGATTTAACCCCAATATTTTTATTTGTTACTTAGATGACGTTCCATTTATTACGCCTTACCCGATAAACAACCGGTAATCAAGACCTTGCCGGTTGCATCTTTTCACTCGATTACTAATTCTTGGGAATGTGCATAGTAGCCACCACCTTTTCCCTCGTCTGACTAACAAAGGGGTATCCCTTATCAGATACCATCATCGTCAAAAGAGGGTTTTGCATGAGGGTTTTGGAAGAGGGTTTCTAAAGGTTTCCAAGGGTTCGATGGCAGAATCATCATGGAGAATGAAAAGTAAAGAATCAAAGTCGACAAAGAAGACAAAGTTGAGATACGTACGTGATGAAGAAGAGTCCGATGATGATCGTCTTGAGTTAGGATTGTTGGATGTTGAACCATATAACTTCAATCCTACATCTAACTTGTGTAACGACCCTTTTCTTAACATTTTATGTGATGATAAAATGTTAAAGAATAATCAGTTTGAAGGGGACGATGGAGCTGATGTTGAAGACATTCACCAGGAAGAGCATGAGCATGAACACCTTGAAGATGAAAATGGCTTGGAAGTGGGTGTCGAGTTTAGGGTGCACGATCCTATCGTCAAGTGGAACCAAATGAAGCCTACAGTTGGTAAGTTATACGAGTCTCCTACTCAGTTAAGGTTTGCACTCACTAACTATGTTGTAGCTAATGGATACCAACTTTGGTTCATGAAAAGTGATAAAAGTAGGGTAACTGTTAGGTGTGGGAAAAAAATGCAAAATAACCATTTCCTTTTAGGATCCATGCTTCGTGGAAGTATAATGAACGTACTTTTCAGATGAAATCTATGGTTGAAACACATCTTTGTGCAAGGAATTATAATTGTGGACATTTGGTTAGTTGTAATTGGTTAGCAAAACACTACATTAAGGACATAATTAGGAACCAGTTGACTATAACAAATACGTATTATCCTAACTGATTAATTAGATTGATAAAACCATATCAAGGTGACCAAACTAACAAGAATTTAAAATCAAACATTCAATAAGTTCAAAACCGAAACAACTAGATAGAAATACACAATGAAAACAAAATTTGATAACTAATCACAAGAAAAGTACTAGTCTATAGGGCAATACTGAAGTTTTTGAAAAGGAACCTCTTGAAGAATAGCTTGTAAGTCTATTTTAAAGTATTTTTTCTATTTTAAAAGTAAGAATTTATTGTAAGTCTTGGCTACAAACTAACATAATATATTTGCAGGATGATTCATGTCTACTTATGGTTGACGTTGCTGCAAATGTAGTCGCTAAAGAAACCATAATGAAGTATAGTGTCTCGGGTATTATGAAAAATATTTTTTTATTACTACTTTATATATTTTCATTTTTAGAAAATTGGATCTTAATTACTTTTCACCTTTAAGTAATAGGTGAAAAAATTCAAGTTATGACTGAAACAAGTTTACAAGGAGAAGCTTTACTACTCACTCCACTTGAAGAGAAGTTCATTGTGAAGGTCAAAGATACACTTGGGCAAATACTAAGTTGGCCGAGAGACCTAGTTATTCGATACTCTGAGTTGGTAATACTATTCACAAACATTTAATGCATATATATATATATATATATATATATATATATATATATATATATATATATGTACACATGATGCCTAATTTAAGAAATTTATTTATAATGTTTATAGGTAAAAGTGGTGGTGAAACCAATGAAAAACATGTAACACCTCTAAAGAAGAATTAGGTAGTAATAAGAAGGGAGAAGATAAGGAGAAATAAAATGAGAATGGAACATAAGAAAAGGGTAAAGAGAAGGGAAAAGAAATGGAGAAACAAAAAGAAAATGAGGAGAGTAAAAAGAAAGGAATGGAGAAATAAATGAGACCATGCAAAGTAAGTGAATGAGAGCACAGATGAAGACAATGATAAGAATTGAAAAAAGTAGTATTTTAAAAATGACTGCAATTATGGTTGATGGACAGGTTTCAAATGTTGATTCTATAAAAGTGCAGTGTGAGAACGATCTTTTTGGGTACGATAATTACAAATACTTAAATCGGGAAAATTTTGAAGCACTTATTACATTGAATAAGTTGAGCGGTGCTTTCATTGTGTCTAATATGATATAGGTGCTTAAATTTAATTTAAATAACTATTCTTAGAACAAAACTTGTTTAGTCAGTTTAGTGTTTATATGTTAACATGATCTTGTTTAACAAAACCAAGTATGGGCAGCCAAAAGGAAACCATGGAATTTGTTCTGTGAGCCTAGATGTAATATCACCAAGTAATCGTAAATGGAAATCTAAGAATATTAATGATGCAAATGGAAGTGTTACATATCAGTTGTCTACAAGAAAGGACAATGACATCATTCTCACACCCTACAATCCCGAATTTGATTTTGCCATTTGATGTTGAGTATAATAAATACCTATTTATTTTAGTCACTAAGTTGTTTGACTTAATTTGATTTTTGGTTTTTGTAGAAGACATCGGGTGTTGGTTGTACTAGACATGAAAATGGCTACTTGCTATTATCTTGATTCCATGAGTTCTAGCAATGTCAATTTACAGTTGAAGCAAATTATTGATTCACAAGTAATATAAATTATCAAAATATTTGCTGTGAATATAATAAATACACACTTCTTAATGTTTTTTATAGGTAAATGGTTTTGTACGCTACACAAAGTGGATCCAACAAGAGGGTTAAACTCAACTCGGTTAGTTTTAAGGCCAACACTTAATTCCTTAATAAAATTGCAGCTTTAACTTTATTATTTGGATCAATGTTGTGATTATCATTTATATGTAATTGTGTAGTGTGCACTTCAACCCGAAGGTACTGAATGTGGCTACTACATGTTAAAGTTCATTAAGGAGATAGTTCAGGAAGGAATTGAAGTATTAGTCAATGATAATGTAAGTATAGCATTCTACTCTCACTACTTTAATTTATTTGAATGTAAAATGCTCTAATAGAAAAGGAATTGAAAAATGATCATTTTATGGTTATTTATTGAATATAACATCCTACTCTCCCAATTATAATTGAAATATTAGGTCATGTGCATGAAATAGCAACGTAATTTCATTTATTTGAAAGTACAATGCTCTAATAATAAAGGAGAATTTAAATTTTATGTTTATTTGTTGAATATAACACCATATTCATTGTTATATAGTAGGTTATATGCAAAAAATAGCAATATACTTTCATTTATTTGAAAGTTCAATGCGGTTATAAGAAACGAGAATTTATATTATATGTTTTATTGTTGAATATAACATCCTACTCACTATTAAAAAGGATCATTTCTTTAAAATGGAAATGTTACATGAATGTTTTTTCTCAGGTCGGGGGTGGCAAAGTTCAGTATATTGATGATGATATTGATGTAATCCGTAAAGAATGGTTGTCTTTTGTTACAGGCTTCATTTATCAGTGATATTTTGTATCGAAAAACAATATTTTTTGTTAATTGTGAAATGTTAGTTAGCATCGTCTTTTGACATGTAGTGTACAATGTTTTCGATAACTTCTTTGATATGATGTTATTAGATGATATTAAATGTTTTGGTATATATTTGTTTTCGTATTTTTGTAGTATGCATAAATGCATGTTGTAAATGTGTATCGTAAATGCATGTCGTGAATCCATATCATAAATGTGTATCGTAAATGATTACTAAAGTTAATGACACAAAAATGTGTGTCATCTCCATTTACGATAGGTCTTTAATGATACACATTGCGTCTCATTTATACCCCTTTATGACATGCAATGCGTGTCGTAAATGCATACCATAAGGTTATGACACACTAATGTGTGTCGTGTTCCTTTATGACATGGAATTCAATGATACGCATTGTGTGTCATCTATACAACTTTATGACATGCATTGTGTGTTGTAAATGCACGTCGTAAGGTTACGACACACAAATGCGTGTCATCTTTCTTTATGATAGAAGCTTCAGTGACACACATTTACATGTCATCTGTACCCTTTTATTACATGTAATGTGTGTCATTAAGGGTAAGTTTCTACTATTGAAGAATGGAGATTTTTGAATTCCCTTAATCCCTTAAGGGTTCTAGAACATTCCAATTTGTCAATCTTTTAACTAATTAATATTTAACCCATTGAATTAAATAATGTTTAATTAAATCCAAAATAGTTTCTGATTACTTTATTAAGCATAATAAATTAATAAACTATTTTCTCCTTATTTTTTTTAATTTCTAATTTGTGTCATGAGGGCAACCCATAATGACCATGTTACTATTTAGAAATATTACCATTTAGTTAATTGCCTTGGACACTATTTCCAACACTTTGTCCATTCTGCATTTGTTGGCTTGGGTTCAAAGTCATCAATGTGATCAATAACATCGAATTTTGTACAATGGATAGATAATAGTTCTCTCCATGTGTCGTAGTTGAGGCGTTCCAGATCAAGAATGAGGGGGACATAGTTCTCTATATTAGTTATATCATAAACCTTTTTTGGAGCAACATCGGTGGGAATATCGTCCATGGTGGCCGGCGGTGGGAGATCAAATTATTATGGTCGACAAACAAAAAATGAGAAGTTAAGACCTAAAAATAGAAAGTGAGGATTTTTAAGAGGTGGTTAAGGAAGTAGTTTTAAGCTATGATATCATGTTGATAAGTATCATTCTCATTGCCATACAAACAAGATTACATAGAGTATATATACACTCGAAAGAAAGAAGTTGGATATACATGTGCCATAATACACAAATGATGGGCTATACAAGCATACACACACGTACATTAATCTGCTAACAAGTTTAATCTATGTGAGGTAGTACCTTTAAACTTTATGCAATGGTTTCAAGGTCATAAACTTATCGAAATGATAGAAATAAATCAATATAGTGGTGCAATTATGACATTGTGGGTTTGTCCATAAACAATTACATACTTGTGTCTTAATTTTATGATACAACAACTCATGAACAACGAAAGTACCTCTTTGATACCAAATATGTGATTTCCGTAAGTAAAAAAAGTACATGCAAACATATATAAATAAATAATGATAAGTGGGGCATGCAGTTCTATGAAGAGATTGTTTGATAAACATTTAGTGTTGAATTATTCTAACCACTTAATAGTTAAATGAATGTGATTTTGCACAAAAGTTTAGAGGCTATATCAAACAAGATGAACATTAACTTATTCATTAGTAACCTCTAAATGGTTGCACTAGGTTATCAAATAACCTCTTATTTAGAACCGGTAGAGTTGTAGTGTATATTATACCTTAGCATCATTTGCATCCCACACCACCATTCAGTGGCTGTAATGCATAAGGAGTGGGGTGCATGGCCCCCACTTGGATGTGAGTTACAAAAGTAATATATTTAAATAAATAAATTATCGTTATATTTGTAATGGTTGGTCCCCATGCAAGTTTTTTGTTGTGACATCCCCAAAATCTCGGCCAGAAAAGACCGATTTCATTTATGCTTTTTAAAATAATTTTCAGAGTAAATCCTTTTAATTTTAAAAGAGATGCGGAATTTGTTCCCAAAAACAAAACATGATAAAATAGATATTTATCAAAACATTTCATAAAGAAATATAATTTCATTTCATAATCAAAAGTCGGGATGTCATGTTCCGATACAGATCATAAAGCATAAACGATAGCATTACAAGTCATTCAACAAATATATACATATACAGACTTGTAAACAAAACAACTTGATGTTCGCCCATCTTAAGCTCTTGCGCCACTTCCTGTAAAATAAATCAACTGAGTGGGTCAGGCTTGGGAGCCTGGTGAGCATATAGGGTTTTCAACCCACAATAATTATATTTAATTTCAACAATCAACAATAAACCCGATTACCCATTCCCGTTATCCTCACCTTACGTTCCTAAAAATAACGTCTATTATAAGGAACCTATTTCAGGATTTTTCATCGGGATGGACATTACTGCAGAGGGGCTTCCTCAACAATAAGTGTCCTAAAGGCAACCATGTGGGGATAGAGTACACCGGTGAACACGTCGTTCACAACACCTACAGGTAATGAGCCTGCTAGTGTTCCACAGGACAGTCTAGAATAGTCCGTGGTCGTCATCCATACTCTGCTGAATGACTAGAATAACACCAATAACACCGAGGCCTCTCATCTGTTTATTACACACCAATTATCTACCCATGTTCTACCCAACATATTAGTAGATAAAAATATACATTTTTATACATAGTTTAAAAACCTGTATAACATGTTTTAATCAATACATATTCCACATAACAGATGAGGCATACACACATAACACGTATTTCATAGAGAATACATCAGATCTATAAGATAGAAGAGAGTGAATATACACTCACACGTATAACAACCAAATATATACACATAACACGTATTTTATAGGAAATACTTCATAATATTGCGTTGGAATGAAAATAACTACACACTCACTTGATCAAAAGATGATCGGGCAGCACTACGGCTTGCAGAAGAGGTGTTTCTCCGTAGATCTGGAAGATCTTCACAAAACCGGGCTCCTCGCGGGCAGCGTTTCGGCTCGGGAATAACGCTCTTCGGGATCCTCGGGGCTTCGGATCTTACTTCGGGGCTCGGGAATATTACCGGGGCTTTGGGGTATAAACGGCACGCAAAACGAGGCAAAACTTAGAGAGAGGGAAGAGTTTGAACAAGAGAAAATGGCTGAATTCGAGTTCTATTTATAGGCTGCTGGGTCTGGGATTACGCGGGGCGTACTCAAATTACGCGGGCGTACTCAGTACTCGGCGTACGGGTTACGCGGGGCGTACTTTGACGTCACTGCGTGCGTCGACTGGTGGCACTCGAGTATTGGTCAGACAAGTTGCATCCGACTGAGTACGCGGGGCGTACTCAAATTACGCGGGGCGTAATTGACTTGTCAAACTTCTAAATTGCGTAACTTTCGCATACGAGCTCCGTTTTCGACGTTCTTTATATCCACGCGAAGGTCAGACCATACTCTACAACTTTCATTTAGACTCCGTCGGCTAATTTTGACTTTTATTTTTATTATTTATTTTTAGAAGGCCGGGACAGAAAAACTTCGTTATAAATTCATAACTTCTTCGTCTGACGTCCGTTCTCGCCTAACTTTTCATCGTTTCGCTACTAACAACAAGATCTTCGATTCTCATTTAGATTGTTTCGGCTAAAAACCGCTCGATCTCAAATCGAGTATTCGGGCTGCATACTGCTAAGTCGAAACTTCAGAAAATCATAACTTCCTCATACGAAGTCAGATTTGGGCGTTCCTTTTATGCACGCTCTCGGTTTAACGAAATCTACGACTTTCGTTTAGATCGCTAAGGCTAAATATCGCTCTATCTTAAATTCATATTTTACGTCACTCGCGTCGTCGGTTCTGTCGCGAAACTTCGACAGGTCATAACTTCTTCGTTATAACTCGGATTTTGGCATTCCTTATATCTCCGGAATCCTTGTTTCGACCACTACAACTTTATGCAAAGATGTCGGGCTTATCTCACACTTAAATTTTGACGCTTATTTTATTCTTAATTCATTAAATTATAAAAATTAAGAAAATACACACATAAATCACATAATTCAAATAATTCACAAATAATACATTCTTATTATTTCAAGTTGAGTTACAAGGTTAACCTAGACTATTACATTGCTAAAAATGGCAAGCCTAGAAACACGGGCGTTACAATTCTCTCCACCTTAGAATGATTCCGTCCCCGGAATCACACACCAGCAAACAAATGCGGATAGCGACTCATCATGTCACTCTCCGTCTCCCAGGTGAGATTTGGCCCATTCGTGTGTTTCCATCGGACAAGCACTAACTCCACCATCTTACGTCGCAATTTCTTAGTCTTTCGGTCAACAATTGCCTCCGGTTCCTCAATCAACCTTTTGTTCTCATCGATCCTCAACTCTGAAAGTGGAATTATGTCGGGAACTTCTCCCTGAACTTCCTCAAATAACACACATGGAAAGTGTTATGAATTCCATTCAGTTCTTCTGGTAGTTCGAGCTTGTAAGCTTGGTTCCCAATCCTCTGAAGAACTTTAAACGGTCCAATAAACCTTGGACTTAACTTTCCCCTTTTTCCAAATCTTATAAGTCCCTTCCACGGCGAGACTTTAAGCAAAACCGAATCTCCAACTTCAAAAGTCATCGGTCTTCGCTTTTTGTCAGCATAACTCTTTTGACGATCCTGAGCTGCTAACATTCTCTCCCTAATTATTTTCAACTTTTCAGCAGTTTGATGGACTATCTCCGGCCCCATAAACTGCTTTTCCCCAGCCTCAAGCCAACAAGACGGCGTACGACACTTCTGTCCATACAAGCTTGATAAGGTGCCATCTTTATGCTCGAGTGAAAACTATTATTATAGGAAAATTCTACCAAAGGTAAATGTTCAT